CCATGGTCATCCTCCATGGTCATCACATCATCTCCCTTCTGCACATGCCTGTCTCTGTCCAACTTTCCCTTTTTTATAGGAACACCTTTTTACAGGGTGGGTTAGGGCCCACCCTAATGATCTCATTTTAACTTCATCACTTCTGTAAAGACCGTATTTTCAAATAGGGTTACATCCTGAGGTACTAGGGGTTAGGACTTCAACCTATATTTTTTGAGGGGACATAATTCACCTCATAACCATGGGAAATTGTGCTTCATCCAGAAACGAATTTTTGACCCTCAGGCAGTCTGAAGTCTTCCACCAAAGTTCTGTGATCCTCGTGGCTTACTTCCTGCTGTTTCTCCCTATCTCGTCTCCTGTGTTTAGACTATTTCAGTTCCCATACACAGCCCTCATAATTGCATGCCTTCAATATTTTCAACAACTAATCCAACAAGATCAGGAATTCCAAGCATTTAGCAACTTCCCTTCAGATGGAAAGATCTCATCAAGCACCTGTCATATTTTTCACTCCATCTTTTTCCAGAACCTTGGCCAACTTCCAACCCAGGATCTTTCCAAGACATCTTCTTCAGTGCCTCCAGCTCTCTGGAAGACACCGTCCAGTTCTCGCTCCCACCCCTATGTGGATTGCTTCCCTCACTGGGACCACCCCTGGCAAACCAGGCTGGCTTCCCCAGGATTCTAGCAAAGAAAAATTGTCTCCACTTGTTGCATTTTTATTGATCACTGATACGCTGGCATTAAGTTAGATGCTGGTGATACAACAGAAAGCAAATAGATATCCCCTGTCTACATGGGTGTACAGTCTGCTGGGGAAGATAGATATTAAGAGTATGGCTGCAAGTGCAATGAGTATGATGACAGAAGGGCATGTAGAACCACAATAACAGTGCTGCAGCTTTCTAATGAGGATATACTGTGTGCCAGGCACTGTCCTAGACTCTGAGAAATTCTCATGGAGCTTACATTCTAATGGGAGACACAGACAATAAAAATGTCAGGTAGTAGTAAATGCTATAAAGGAAAATCAATCAGGATAAGGGGATAAAGCAGTCTGGGGCTGTATTGGTTAGGATGAGGTTCAGTTGCACAGAACAGGCAAAATAAATAAGGATGGCTTAATATGAGGTTTGTTTGTTTCTCTGAAATGAAGAAATACAGAGGTAGGCAGTCCAGCACTTTTAGAATAGTTTCCAGGCTCCCTGTTCTTCTCTGTCATTTTTAATGGGTCTTATATCTTCTGGATTCCTTCATCATTCAAAATGGCTGCAAGAGCTCCATCCATCACATCTGAGGCCCAGAAATGAAGCTGGAGAACAGGAGTGAGGGCAAATAGAAGGCACCTCTCAGCTAAGTCTCCTCTTTTAAGGCTATTTGCCAGAAACCTCACCCAACCTGTTCCTCTTACATTTTAATAGCCACCCCTAAATGTAAGGGAGACTGGCAAATGCAATCCATCAGCTGTGTACGATGCTATCCAGAATATAACCAGAGTTGATTCATAAGGAAGAAGGAAAAATGGTTTTGGATAGACAACTCACCATATCTACTGGGGCCCATCAAAGACTTTCCAGAAAAAGGAGGCTTAGGCTAGCAGCCAAAAAATGAGTAAGAGTGCCCAGACCAGGAGGAGATCAAGGGGAAGAACACTGCTGCAGAGAAAGGAACAACAGCCCTGATGGTTGGGCTGGGTCCAAGTTTATCTTTGTTCCACTGTGTCCAGCTCAGAACCGGGCACAGTGCTCATCTCAAGAAATATTTATTAACTAAATATTGGCCTCAGATTGAGTGCTTGCGTCACCCAACATGTAATCTCTGCCACAAGAGGAATGCCCCCCAAACAGAGTCTCTCAGTTATTTCCATTCTGCCTAGAGCAAAACAGATGACTCTTGGTGAAAAATCATCTGGTGTCTAGCTACAGACAGGGCTGTGCACACAGATACCCAGAAATCAAAATAGGAAGCACGTATTGCAATAAAACCTGACCATAACTTCCTAATGAATCAGAAACAGTGCTTCACAGACCAATGCATCTCACACATTAAGTACCCTTTGTTGTTTATAGCTGTAAAATCTGCTGAGGTTGAGTTTAAGGTAAGGGAATAAGAAGAAATCTGCCCAGCCCTTCCTGTTGATGAAATTCCAATGGAGCCTGGTTCTCAGATTCAGTGATTATTGAGCCAAGTCTGCAAGGTCTAACACTGGGCCGATCTCTACTCTGCTGGCAGACCTGGAAAGGTTGGATGGAGCAGCACAGAGGGCAGACCAAATGAATATGCCTTGCTCAGAGCCTGGCACATGCTAGATCTTCCATAAATATCAGCTCCCTGAATGGCTGGAGCATTTGAGAAAAGGTGTGTAGAAGTATGACATTTGATTAAGTCATAAAGGGTAAATAGAGGTTCTTGCAAGGGTGGGAAGAAGGGATAGACATGTGGGATGAAAGGATCAGTGCATGCAAAGGGAGAGGGGTGTGAACAGCAAAACTCAAGCAGTTCAAATAGTCCCAGGGGAGGGTGGAGGTAGGAGATGAGTCTGTTAAGATGCCTTGTGCAGGGCAGGGCTAAGATGTTTGCACTTTCTCCAGTGGGTAACAGGGAACTTTTGAAGAATTCTGAGCAGGGAAGGGACATGATCAGAGTCACAGGGTCATTCATCCCTCTCCTCCCCAATCAGTGCTCCAATGCAAGCCTTCCCTATAATCACAATATTGCTTCCATTGATATACCTTTCTCTGTTCCTTCACCCCAAGACCTTTCCTCTCACTCTCCCAACTCCTGACCCTGTTACAGATATATCAACATACATGTAGGCATACCTCCCAACACCTTTGGCCTCCCAGCTTTGATGACCTTGGCCTTGGGCCATTCTCTTTAGCCATCTATTGCCAGAGCCACATCAAGGACCTTTTCTACCTCGAGAAACTCAAAACCCAGGTTTTCCCTTCCTTTGCCATCCTTTGAGGAGCTAGAGGAATCTAATCACACTGTTCAATGCTCCTCAATGATTCCCAAGGCATTGCTAATAAAAATCCAAACTCCTTCCTGTGGCCTTCTGGACTCCACATGTTCTAGCCCCTGACTACTTCTCCAATCACATCTTGGGCCACCCTCCTCCTCACCTTCCATTCTTCCTTCCTTAGACTACAGTCACACCTCCACCCTCATCATATCAGACTTCTCAAATGAATTCTCATCCCTCGTTGTCCCCACTTTCCATTTCCCACTCACTCCTCAAGCCACGAAATGTGGCTTCATCCCCCACCAATCCACTGCTGCTCCTCTGTCCAAGGTTATATTTATAAATTGACAAATCACATGGGTCCAGGTGGCCACCCTTGCCTTGAAACTCACTCCTCCCAAACATGGTCTCCACAATGTTACTTTCTCTTTCTTTTTTCACTTCTGTGTTATTTCTTAGTCTTTGTGATTTTCTCTTCCTCTGTCTACTATTTCAGTATTGGTCTTGTCCAGAGTTCTGTCTTCAGTCCCCTTCTATTCCCACTCTGCACTCTTCCTTAAGCATCTGATCCCTGTCTATGGCTTCCCCTCCCCGCCATCAGATGACCCCCACAGGCACCTCAACTCCACTGAGTGCAAATTGAGTTCACCACCTCCCATTCCCACCCCTTGTCAAGACCCATTTCACACCATCCAAGGAAATAACCCACCCTTATCCTTCCATTTGCCCAAGCTGGAAACCTGGGAGTCAATTTAGGTTACTCTTACTTCCTCATCCTCTACCAATGATTAATCACCATATGTGAGTGAGACTAGCTCTTTTTTTTTCCAGAATTTTATTTTATTTAAATTCAATTAATTAATATATAGTGGATCATTAGTTTCAGAGGTAGAGTTCAGTTATTCATCAGTTGCATATAACACCCAGTGTCATTACATCATGTGCCCCCCTTAATGTCCATCACCCAGTTACCCCATTCCCCCACATACCTCCCCTCCAGCAACCCTCAGTTTGTTTCCTATAGTTAAGAGTCTCTTATGGTTTGTCTTCCTCTCTGATTGTGTCTTATTTTATTTTTCCCTCCCTTCCCCTAGTTAGTCTAGCTTCTAAGTGTGTCAGATCTCTGCTTTCCCCCGTCCCTAATTGAGTCTCTCCTCATTTCTCTTTCAAACTGTTAACCTGCCTGATTGTTATGTTCTCTGCTTTTGTTTTTAATTTCTCATCTTCACTGGACTATGAGGGACCACATCTTAATAAATTTCTTATCCTCTGGGTCTGCCTTAGTGCTGACACATAGTATTTACTTATAGTAGGTGTTTCTGACTGTATGAATGAAGTGAGTACATGAATGTGTGAATAAAAAAGGAACAAATGAGACAAGGCACTTGACACCATCCAGCTCAAAATAATATGTTTACAATATTAAAATTCACAGATCACTGGGGTGCCTGGACGGCTCAGTTGGTTGAACGACCGATTCTTGATTTTGGCTCTGGTCCTGATCTCAGGGTTATGAGATGGAGCCCCACATCAAGCTCCATGCTCAGCAGGGAGTCAGCTTGAGACTCTCTCTCCCTCTGCCCTTCCGCCCCCAAAGTAAGTAAATAAATCTTTAAAATTCACAGATCGTTTGAACAACAACCCTATGAAATGCTTATTATTATTCCTTAACTTCTCTGGTTAAATAATTTGACCAAAACCATAGAATTAGTGAGTCACAGGGTTAGTCTGTGGAAAAGCCTGGATTTGAAGCTGTGGGTCCAAGTTTTAAACTTTCCACCAAATTATAGAGCTTTGCTCAGTGACTGTATTCTTCCATAAAGCTGGTATTAGCCAAATTGATTATCTACTCTACTTAGCAGCACTGTTTCTAAATGACACATTTTTGCCCTCAGAAAATGAAATGTATTCATTTTTTCAAAGCACAAAAATTTGTCTTCATTGTTGTTGTTCCAGAGAATGTGTGATCATGTACAATTTCAGGCAGAGATTTTAGGTCTGGTATGTATATTCAAAATTTAGTACCACTCACCAAAGGCAGGACGATTTATATACTCCTCTGTGGCTTGAGACGTTCACTTCCTTGGTGATTCTGGCGTCGCTTAGAAAGGCTGAAATAGATAAAACATCACCCAAATAGAGTTAATATCCTGCACCATGTTTCCCCAAGCCTCCCTGTCCCCCCATATTCCCTATCTCAGTGAATAGCCACCCATTTCCCAGGCCAGAAACCTGGTCATCATCTGAGTCCTTCTGATTCCTCCCTTTGTTCACCTAACCAAGCACCAAGCCAATCCATTCCATCTCGTCAGTGTCCCATGGGTCTGTTATCTCTCCAGTCCAATGATGACAGCCTTCACCTGGGCATCCACATAAATCTTACCTGCATGAGGAATTAGCCCCCTGACACCTCTGCCCACTTCCAGTTTTGCACACACCAAGCCACCATCCACACTCTAACCCAACTCATGATTCAGGTAGGCAAATCTGCTCGCTCAGGTTTCTGCCTTTAAACTTCCAGTGTCTTCCCGTTTGCCTCAAGATTAAGTCTGAAGTCTTCATCATGGCACACAAGGCCCACATGGCCGCCACCAATCTCCCCACTTTCTACCTCTCGATTCTGAACTTGTTCTCTGTTCCTCTGCACATTGCACTTACTGGTCCTTCCCTCCCTCGCTTCAACGTAACCACCTCCAACCAGGCCTTCAAATCACAGCTTACGCATCATCTGCTCCCTGTATCTGTGGCTCCCACAATCTGGGTTAGATGCCTTCGTCTACCATGGAAGCCATAACACCTTCCCATATACTATTGTGATGTCTATTTGCTCTTCTATCCTTCACTACCACACTCCTTACTCAGTGAGCTCTGGGACAACCTAGGATGTATCTTGTTCTTCTCTCTGCCTCTAGCTCCTGAGCCAGCGGATGCTCATAAGTTTGTTGAATAAATGAATTTCTGTCCTCACCTCTCTCAACTCCTCCTTTCCCTCAACTTGTGGAGGAGACACAAGTAAAATACCCAACATGGTCAATGTTATAAGAATCATAACAGAGTTGTGTAATAAGGTACCCTGGGAGAAAGGAGAAGGGAACCATAGCAGCTTCGGATGTCTCAGTGGAAGGCATGGCAGATACAGGTCTGAAATATTAACTTTTTGAAAAATAGCAAATGGAAAGAATATCCAAACTTCCAGCCTTGAAGATCAGCTTAAGAATAATTTATAACACCAGACCATGGTCCTTACGCTTTTTCCATATAAGGACCCCTTCTAATATTAAAAAGTTTAGATGTAACAGCATGTAACAGCAGTTGTTGCAAAAAATCCTAAAGCTCTTCTAAGTTCAGTAAGGATTTTAAGACTCTGATTGCATGCATTACAATGCCATTTACAAAAATTCCCAAACTAGCAGTACATTCATGTGAAAGGTGCCCACAGACTGTGCCTACTATGTAGGGTATGGATTTGTGGACTCCCTGTAAAAACTTTACAGCTCCTCTTTTACAGGACCCCACAATTTTGACCCACTGATGCTAATGCCAGCCCTTTACGCCCCCTGCTACCATTTCCCCCTGGATTTGGACCGACTCAAGAAACTCACTGACATGGAAGACATGGTTGGAAAATGGAGACCTAACTGACAAGACCCTCATAACTAAGTATTTCTATTCAGGCATTAAAAGGTTAATTCAAAGTATAAGAACTTGTATTTTAACCCAGAATGAGCAGATTAAATATTTTCCTTTAGGCAACGAATCATGGGGTCACTCTACTGGAAAACCTGCTTTGCTGCCACATGATGAGATGAGAAGACCATCTATTCCAGTGAGCATGGATCACTTTATTAATCCCTCAAGGCATGGCCTGTTGGTTGCCTGGGGCTCACACTGAGCCTACTCCAGTTATTCAAGTGCACCCTTTGCTCTCACCACTTTTAGGTCTTGTTTTCAGCAGCCATGTTCAATCAGGACACAGTAAACAATCCCCCCACAGTGCTTTGCTCATACTTTAATTATGACATCTTATTCATTCTTTTTTAAAAGGGTTTTTTAATTCATTTATTGTTAGAGAGAGAGAGACAGTGTGAGCAGTAGGAGTGGCAGAGGGAGAGTGAGAGGAAGAGAAGCGACTCCCCACTAAGTGCGGAGCCTGCCATGGGGCTCAATCTCACGACCCTGAGATCATGACCTGAGCTGAAACCAAGAATTCGAAGTTTCACCGACTGACCCACCCAGTCATTCTTTTTTTAGAGTAACTTAAGTTCTTTGCACTTATTTCAAATTCAAATGATCCACAAGTTTATATTTAAAAAAAAAAATAGTTTCCCACATCACTGCTTGATCCTATTTCCCAAATATAACCACAGATAATAATATAACACAGTCTTTTGTTCTGTTTGGCTTATTAAAAAGAAAAACACATAAACCATACCATACATACTGTTCTACAACCCGATTTTTCCTTTTTGTTTCCTCTTTTACAATTTTTTTTACTTTTTTAAAAAAAGACTTTATTTATTTATTTTGAGAGAGAATGAGAGAACATAAGCCAGGGGAGGAGCAGAGGGAGAGGGAGAGAGAGAATCTCAAGCAGGCTCCCCACTGAATGCAGAGCCCGACTTGGGGCTCGATCTCATGACCATGAGATCATGACCCAAGCCTAAATCAAGAGTCAGATGCTCAACAGACTGAGCCACCCTGGTGGCCCCCCTTTTTTTTACTTTTTATTATGGAAATCTTCAAACCAATACATAAATACAGAGAGCAGCATAATGAATCCCATACACCTATGACCAAGCTTCAACAAATATCCAGTTTGTCAATTTTATTTTATTTATCTCTTCTCCACATCAGAACTTTTTTTTTTTTTTCTGGAATATCCTAGCAATTCCCAGACATCGTATTATTTCACAATAATGTTTTGTTATGTATTTCTACCACGTAAAATCTTTTAAAAACATAACCATTTTGCCATTATCATATCTCAAAACAATAATCTCTTAATAATTGTCTATTTTCTATTTTCTTTGATTGTCCTTAAAATTTTTTTAACCTTTGGTTTATTTGAATTAACATCCAAATAAAGTCCATAACTGGTTGATATGTCTCAGTTCCCTTTAATTCATAATAGTTACAATAATTATATCTCCACTCCCTCTTTTAGGTTATTTATATGAGGGCTTTTGTCCTGTAGAATTTCCCACCATCTGGATTTGGCTGATTACACACTCAGAATATCATTCCACATTCTATTCTCCCTGTTTCCTGTAACCTCCTCAATAGAACTAAACTCTTGATTAGATTCAGATGCCATTATTTGGGCTGGAATATTTGATAGGTGGGGCTGAATGCTTCCTATTTTATCATACTGGGAGGCACATTGTAACTGAATGTTCCATGGATGTCAGTGTTATCAGCTGATCAACCAATACAGCTTCCCATTAACCTGACACCTGCTCATTTTAGTACCTATCAATGACCACTATCTAGATGCATTAATTTATTGGGGCTTGGTTACATACAGGTAATCATTCCTTCTGCATTTGTTAGTTAAAATTCTTTTGTAAAGAATTAGTTTCCCTCCTAGACCAATTCAATGACTTAGAAACATGGTGTGTACAAACAAGAATAAATGTTCTCTTTATTACAATTTCCAGAAGGCCTACTTGGCATCATAGTAATTTCCAAAGGCGATTAATAGTTAATTTCTTTTTTTGCAGTAGCATGGTGAACCCCTAGATTTTTATATTTTTGATGTTCTTCAATCCATTGCAGTTGTTATTCTCACTGATACTTATGTTTTCTCATCTTTAGCCATTGGAGCCCCTCCAGGTTGCCCCTGAGTTTAGAAAAAACAACGAAGTCTTTACAGGTCCTGCTTTCTAGTACACACAAGAGGTGGCAGGCCCATCTTATCTATTTCTTGCTGTGGATTTAGAATCAGTGATTACTTCAAGGAGCCCTTATGTTTTTAATAGATAATGGTATTTAGATACCACGATATAGGTGCCAGTGGGTACTCCTTGCTACTAGGTAGTAATGGATTTCAGACCTTTTCAGTGGACAAAGCTAAGAAATGTGTAATTTTTAGAGTTATAAAAATAAGTAAGGAGCTTATACTATTTCCACTGACTTGCTTCTTTGTTTAACAATATATTAGATACCTTTCCACGTCAGTGATGCAGATCCACATTATCTTATAACTGTATATTATCCATAATATGATTATAATATGTCCTATTTAGGATGGTTTCTAATTTTTCACTATTATAAATATTGCTGTAATTAACATCATGAGCTTACATCCTTGCCCACTTGTGCAAATATTCGGTAGATATCTAAAAGTGGAACCAGCACCTGAAAAGTATGAATCCAAAGGGCTTCATCAATTTAAAATCCCACTATTAGTATCATAGAGAGTATTTTTAGTGATTGAACACTACCTGCTTTCCTGATCCCTGTTTTTGAAGGCCTAAATCCTAGGCCTGGTACATAGTGGGAACACACTAGTTATGTGTTGACCCAGACCGAGAGAGTCCAGGCCCACAGAAGTATATGTAAAAAAGAAAAAGTCTAGGCTAATGCCTCTGTAACAATTCCAAGGGACACTTGGGAAAGTTCTACGCCTCTTGTCCAAGGAGAATGACATGAAGCAGGCCTAAGCCCAACCCACAGACTGGAGCCAAGTTTGGTTGAATCTAGCCTGGATCAACTAACCCCCATCTGACTCACAGATGCATGAGAGAGAATAAATTATTATTTTAAGCCACATGAACTTGGGGTGATTTGCTGTATTTTATTATTACCTTATTCTTGGTATTCTTGGTATTAATATTGGTATTATTGGTATTATTACCTTATTCTATAATAATATTTTATTTTATTATTACCTTATTCATCATAAAGATGTCAATTCTGCTCAAGAAAATGTATGCACATTTAATGCAATCCCAACAAAATATACTGAGAAGGGTTATTATTAGCTAAATGAGATTTTCTATAACTGAAATTGTAGATGACATCAAAATGAAAAGGGAGAGAGAGCAGAGAAGTGAGAGTAGTGTATTAAGGTTCTTGTCTTGCTCAGGAAAAAGAAGCATAAGTATGGCTC